ATTTTAACATACATCTTCTAAATAAGGAACCTACCCTTAGTTAGCTACCTTAAAAACTTGGCTCCTACTCAGGAGGTGTAATACACTCTGCTTAAATGGATCCTTGAAACTTCTTGTTTTCTTTGACAATTTTTGTTTTTGTTTTCTCAGTTTTGAATCTCACATCCTTACCAAGTTAGTTGTAAGCCTTTGGAATACGACAACGTGAATGTCTTTTTTTTTTTTTTTGAGACGGAGTCTCACTCTGTCACCCAGGCTGGAATGCAGTGGCTGGATCTCAGCTCACTGCAAGCTCCGCCTCCCGGGTTTACGCCATTCTCCTGTCTCAGCCTCCCGAGTAGCTGGGACTACAGGCGCCTGCCACCTCGCCTGGCTAGTTTTTTTGTCTTTTTTAGTAGAGATGGGGTTTCACCGTATTAGCCAGGATAGTCTCGATCTCCTGACCTCATGATCCGCCCGTCTCGGCCTCCCAAAGTGCTGGAATTACAGGCTTGAGCCACCATGCTCGGCCAAATGTCTTTCTTTATAAAGATCATGGTAACCAGAAAACAATCTATAGTAGATGCACAGAGTATAAATAGAAAGGATTATTCATAACATCCCACTACAGCAAACTACAAACCAGCAAGACAGGGAGAAACAAAATACATCCCCAACAACCAGAAAACAAATTATAAAATGGCAGTAATAAGTTCTCACCTATCAGTAGTTAACTTTGAATGTAAATGGGTTAAATTTTCTAATACGAGGACAGAGTGGCTGAATGGATTAAAAAAAGACCCAAGTACCCAACTATATGCTGCCTACAAGAGACTCAGCTCTCTCTTAAGGATGCACATAGACTGAAAATGAAGGGATGAGAAGATACTGTATGCAAATGGAACCAGAACAGAGCAGAGGGTAGCTATACCTACATCAGACAAAGCAACTTTAAGTCAAAAGCAACAAAAGAGACAAAGGACATTATATAACAATGAAAGGGTCAATTCATCGAAAGGATATAACAAATATAAATATGTCCAACATTGAATGAAACACCTAAACATATAAAGCAAATATTAATAGATCTGAAGGGAGATAGAAACTATAATACGACAATAGTAGGGGACATCAATACCCCACTTTCAATAATGGATGACTATCCAGACAGAAAATTAATAAGGAAACATTGGACTTGAACTACACTTTATGACCTGACAGACGTATACAGAACATCCCATCCAA